CACTCACTGAACAGTATATGTTCAACTTGTTTATTCCTGCTATACATAGTCTCTACAAAAATACATTACTTTAAAAGAATGCAAATTTCAAATATGTGAAACACATTTTATACCAGGGCCTTTGAACTAGATGCTTGCTGCTGCCCTCTACAGCTAGAGTAGCTCACTAAATCACTGTTTCAAATTTATGCTGAAATGTCAACTCCTCTAGAAAGCCATTATCATCTAATCTAGTTACATCCTCTCACTCTAACCTCTTATCCCAATTCTGCTTTATTTCTCTTCATAGCACATGTCACTCACTACATGGCTTCCTTCTCCTCCCCCATAGTATCTCCACCTTACACTACATGAAGTTAAGCGATATTGCTTTGTGCACCACTGTATCCTGAATACCAAGGCACATGAAAAGCATACAGTATTTGTTTAATGATTTAATTTACTGAGTTAGAAAATACTTCATTAAAGATATACTAATCTTTCATAATCAAAAAATTATAATAATTAAAGTATTAGCAATTTGGGCAGAAAATAATATTCCACAAAATTATCCTTTCATCAAAAAGACTGAAAATTTATAGCACAAAATATATTTTCCCTATCGTAGACTCAAATCTCTTCAAATACTTTGTTTTGTTTTGTTTTAATCATTTTATTGGGGCTCATACAACTCTTATCACAATCCACACATACATCAATTGTGTGAAGCACACTTATACATTCGTTTCTTCAAATATTATAGTTAAAAGTATAAACTACCTAAAAGTTACTGTCCAGACTGGATTATCCAAACAAGTCCCTGCCTTCTCTTCATCTTACCTGCTCTTAATTTTATATCTTAATTAGTAGTTTCACTTGGGTGCAGACCTCCCACTAGTCCCTTAAATATCCAAAACCCTATTCATGTTTGAAGTCCCTGGGTGATATAATAATCATAACGAAAAGATTGGAGGTTTGAGTCCAGCCAGGTGCCTCAGAAGGAAGGCCTGGCAATTTACTTGTGAAAAGTTAACCTCGGGCAATGAATATACAAATGCACTTTACACAATTGATGTGTGTATGGATTTAAATAATAAAAAAAAAAAATTAACCTCAAAAACCCTATGGAGTAGTACAGTTCTACCCTTGCCACCATGAGTCAGAATCGATTCAACATCAATCAGTAACAACTATGTGATTCCCCAAGATAGACCTCCATCCTCCTCCAGACAAACCCAGAGTGAGTTACTGGATCATGAATTACCGGTTTATTTTCTAAATCAGTGGTTCTCAACCTCCCTAATGCTGAGGCCCTTTAATACAGTTTCTCATATTGTGGTGACCACCCAATCATAAAATCATTTTCATTGCTATTTCATAACTGTGATTTTGCTACTGTTATGAAATGGGCGAACCCCGTGAAAGGGTCGTTCAACCCCCCAAAGGGGTTGTGACCCACGGGTTGAGAACCACTAGGGGGAAGCCAGAAGAGGCTTGAGGGAAGCAAAAAAAATAAAAAGAACCACTATTCAAAATATTTCAGATCTAGCCTCTCTGTTCCACTCCCACTGCACTGGCTCAGACCCTTATTCACTTCTTACCTGGCATATCAAACTTTCCATTCAGGACTCATTTTTAATGTATTCACTACAACGCTATTCCCAAAATGATCTTCCTACAATGCGAATCCAACATCTTTATCCCTTTTAAAAGAATTTTCAGTGTGGCTTTCAAAAAAATTTCAATTCCTTCACTTAGCTTTGTTTGGTATCATTAACCTCCTCATTCCCAAACCAAACTTCATACTTTAATTTAATCCAGCCACAGTGAATTATTTATAGTTTCCAGATATATTACCTTGTTTTACCTTCTTGCTTTCCAATGTGCTGTTCCCTCTGTCTTAAACTCTTACCAAGCCAAAGCTTTAACTCTCAACTTAAAAGTCAACTCTATGAACCCGGTTTGATTCAGACGTCTGCTTCTGTCCTCCCACTCACACTAATAATAATCATCAGGCGCTGTAATATGTACTCTTATAACTCTACATGATATGCACTATTTGGCCTTTTCTACTACATTGTGAGCTCCATGAAAGCAGGTCTGATAGCGTATTCTCACCTTAATATTACATTGGGAGGATAAAAGAGAAAATGAAAAGATAAGAAGAAAGGAAAAGCAGCAAGAGGAGGATATTAAAAAGAGGTATTTGTAATCAATCCATCAATTTTATGTGATGAATGATAGTATTTTCTGAAAAGGCAAGCTACCACATTTTAAGTACAATCATCCTCATCCCCAAAAATGCTATACCTAGTCCGTATAGGTCATCTCAATTGAAAATGTACTACAATATAATCTCTCTCACACTGCCATTGAGTCAGTCACAGAACATAGCAACCCTATAGGATAGGGGAGAACTGCCTCTTTGGGTGTCTGAGACTTCAAAACTATGATAGCAAGGCTACAGCTCTTACAATGTGACAAGAGGTGCTGATAATAAGAACTTTATGCAAGCAAGAAATGAGTAGCAAATAAATTTGACGTAAATTGTCTCCGAATTATTTATAAAGCTTCAATGATCTACAATTCCTGATAATAGCTTTAATGATCTACAATCCCTGATAATGTACTATCAGTGGTATTAACGATTCTAACTTAAGTGTGAAAAATAAACCCAACACAACACAAATACCATGATCTATGTTAAAGCATAAATTGGTATTTTTACAAGTCACATTTCTCAAAGTACACTACGAAAATATCAAGATCAAGAGACTAAGTAAAATTCTTAAAGTACTATAAGAAACAAAATATTTTAAATGACACATGTTTTTGTTAGGTATTCAAAACAAATATTGTTACTATTTTTTCAATTGCCTCAAAACTCAGTCATTTAATAAAGTTTCTTTCTAATGCATACATAATCATTATAATGTAGAAACTGGGAACACAGACATATAAAAAGAATATTTAAGCACATTATAATCAACACTACTTTTTTAACTGTAATTTTGGGCAGCCTTTTACCTTTTAATACCCAGAAATTAAGTTGTAAGAAATAGGCTTGAGTTATCATTTTTCTCTGAAAACAAGCAAACCCTAATTCACAGCTGTCGAGTCAACTTGGACGCATACTAACCCCACATACACTGTGTATATGTATACCCTGTGTATGTGTACACGCGGGTAGCTTAATGGGTTACGCATTGTCTGCACTTGTTATACTTACAATAACAAGTCCTATTTGTACAAAATCAGAATTCTTTACTTTTAATATCACTAGTATTTTTAAGGAAGAATAGAAATGTTGAGCCCTAAAAATTACCAGTTCTAAAAAATGCTACCAAAATATTTGCATTTATTTGCCTAATACCATGAAACTCTTATGGCTAAAGTTTTTAACACACTTTCATTCTTTTTTAAAACAGGTTGTTTTTAAAAAAAAATAAACCCAAAATACCTACAACTTATATATATTTTTAACATTTACAGATACTGCATTGGCAACCAAAGCAGATTATAAGTATTCCCAACTAAACCATGCATTTTTCAGCTTCTGAAATAGCACATGTTCTTTTGAATTTTATGGTTTTCTTAAGAAATTCTTATTCAACACCAAGATAGATATATACAGTTTTCTTAATAAATTCACTTTTCATCCTTTTCGATGTCATAGGAATTGGAGCCAATACCTGACTAACAAAAGAGAAACATGTCCCAAACATCACTGGCTTGTCTGTTTTATTTACCCTTAAATAAGGGTGAAATAGGAGCTCAACAGAACTCAATTTTTCCCATAAACACAAGCATTACAAATTTTAATCCAGATGAAGTACTGTAACACCAGTCTTAATTTTTTTTTCTTTTAATCATTTTATTAGGGGCTCATACAACTCATCACAATCCATACACACATCAATTGTGTAAAGCGCATTTGTACATTCATTGCCCCACCAATCTTAATTTTGATGAGAAAGTTCATTTTTAAAAATCAGTTCAAAGGGAATACTTAGAAGTAGAAGACATTTACGGACTTTAACATATTATGTATTCCACTTCTATATTTGTGAACAGTATTTCTCAATTCTATTAATTCTTTACTTTTAATATCACTAGCATTTCTCAATTTGTACTGTGTGAGAAAACATCTGCTAGTCTCAAAGTTCCACCAGTTGAATCTAGACAAATCAGACATCGAAGCCTTTTTCATTCGAGTATACTTAAAAAGAAAAAAATCAGCCAGCAGTCAGTTACATATTCTACGAAGTGGAAAACAACAACCTATGCTTTTGTTATTATTTCTTCCATCAATTACACAAACTGAACTTTTTAGATACTATCTTCCATTCAATTAACATATTTACATTTAAGAGAAAGTTAGCCATCGATTTTCCACACATCACAAAGCACGCTTGTATCTGACAATTTACACACCAAATGAAATCAATAAAGGAAAATAAACCACATAGCTGTCAGTTCCTAGAAATACAACAAACAACTGCAATCTCTGAACTGTGTAAAGATCACCAAATCCCCTTAAAAATCTTTTAATTAAGATTATTTCTGTGACTAACCAAATAAAACACGTTTTCTGCTAAAAACTCAGTACTGTTCACAGAACAAATGAGTTCCTTTCATCATTGCAACTGAGAAAACCACAATGAAGTTCAGTTTCTGGAGTGGCATTAGTTGATATGCTTTTTCAGTTGTACCTTTTAATATATTCTAATTGGTACTTATCCCTATCTTCTGTGCTTTCAAAAGGAGACCTTCTACGTGGGAAAATCACATTCAATGAGTGGGGCTCAGCTGAGTGTCCAGGAAGCAGCAAAGCCTCGGAGATGCTGCCATCCACACACCTGCGGAACCCCATGGTCTCCTGCTGTGAGGTTTGGAACCCCACCCGTGAAATACACCTTCCTGGGCCAAACTCGAAAGCCCGACACCACGTCCTCCGTCAATCACCCACACTTCCTGAGTTCTCTGCCCCAGAGGTTCCTTGTCTGAAGGCAATCTCTTACCTTCATTCTGATTTCGGGGCCGAGCTCCCCTCCCCAAACACACCAGATTCACCTGCACCTGGTGGGGAAACAAAAGACCCCGGTCAGCACCACGGCACCCCGCTCAGTCCCCGAGCCACTGAACGCCCAGTCGGGGCTCCTCCCGGCCCCGCCATCACTGAGAGGCCTGCCAGCCACCTACACGGCGACACCGTAGCTTCCCGTCCCCATTGTCGGGACCCGACGGAGTTTCTCGGCCCCGACGATGACGCCATTTCTGTCAGAGAAGAAACTCACTAGACGCCCGTAGTTCGGAACCCAGTCGCTCGCCCTCCCAGGGGCGCCTCCTCGCCCCACCGAGCGGCTCCTCGCCCTGAAGGGCTGCGCCACCCTCGAGTCCGAGAGGAACCGCGGTCGGTCCGGGGGAGCAGCCCGAGAGGGGCCCGGGCAGCACCCACCCTCGCGGGGCCGCGGTCCACGTCCCGCTCCCTGACGGGGGCCTACGAAGCGGCAGCAAGATTCCCGTCGGCTCGACTGCGCGCAGCGCGGGGCAGAGAGAGGCCGCGCGATAACTGAGGGCTCGGCCGGAGCCCCCCCCCCGGGGGGCCCCTCCCGGTCCGGTTAGGCCCCCCACAGCGGCCCAAGGGCCCCCCAAACCGCTGAGTCTGCGGCCGCTCGGCCAGGGGCAATTCGGACACGGCAACTGCGGGGTGGGGGGCGGCGGCTCCCGGAAAGAAGGGGCCCAGAACACCGCCGCCCGCTGAGTCGGCCTCCGCGATCTTCCAGAACCCTGCACCTCGACTGCTCCCCACCCGCCATGGAGTCCACTCCGACCCCAGCCGACCCGGCACGGGCTTTCCGAAGCCGTGAATCTTTACGGGAGCAGAAAACCTCCTCTCTCCCCGCGACTGGGCCCAGGGACTCCCAAAAGGGCTCTCTTACCAGACCGCAAAAGCCCTCAACATGTCCCTACCTTTCTCTTAAGAGGCGAGATCTGACCCTGGCACGTCCAGAATCCCCTTCGCTCCTCGCCCCCCGCGCCCCCGAAGCAGGAGGCCCTGGAGAGATGCGGGGGGAAGACGGGCGGCGGGTCCAGCGTCTGCAGAGGCAGAGACTCTGACTGAGGCTCCGACTCCTCCTCCTCCCGCGGCGGCGACTGGTACCTTTGTTTGGCGGCCGCTCGGGCTCCCTCGCTGCG